AAAAAAAAAAAAAAAAAGAAAAGAAAAGAAAAAAATATAAAAAGAAATGAAGATACTGGTTTACTTGGGAGCACAGTGACTAGAAGAGGGCTTCAGGGGTACTGGTAATGTTCTATCCTTTATCTGGATTCTGGCTACTCAAGTATATTCAATTTGTGAAATCCATTGAGCTATACATTTTTGATTCATGTACTTTTCTGTGTTACACCTCAACAAAAAGTTTATTACCAAGGAAGGTGTACAAATGGCTAACAAGCACATAAAAATATGCTCAACATTTGTACACATAAGGGAACATATATGCTCCCTTAGTCATTAGGGAAATGCAAATGAAAACCTCAATGAGATACCACTTCATGCTCACAAGGATGGTTATAATTTTTTTAATGGGAAATAACAAGAGTTGGCAGTATGTATAGAAACTAGAATCCTCATACATTGCTGATGGGAATGTAAAATGGTGCAGCTTCTGTGAAAAACAATTTGGCGGTTCCTCAAAAAGTTAAACATAGAATTACCGTATGACCCAGCAATTCCACCCCTAGGTATGTATCCCAAAGAACAAAAAACAGGTGTTCAAACAAATACTTGTACATGAAATGCTCATCAAAGCGCTATTCACAATAACCAAAAGGCGGAAGCAACCCAAGTGTCCATGAACTGAAGAATAGATAAACAAAATGTAGGATATCGATATAATGAAATATTATTCATCCATAAAGAACAATGAGGTACTGGCTGGGTGCGGTGGCTCATGCCTGTAATCCCAGCACTTTGGGAGGCCAAGGCAGGCAGATCACCTGAGGTCAGAAGTTCAGGACCAGCCTGGCCAACGTGATGAAAACCGATCTCTACTAAAAATACAAAAATTAGCCAGGTGTGGTGGCATGTGCCTGCAGTCCCAACTACTCAGGAGGCTGAGGTAGGAGGATTGCTTGAACCCAGGAGGTCAAGGCTGCAGTGAGCTGCAGTGCTACTGCACTCCAGCCTGGGACATAGAGCAAGACCCTATCTAAAAAAGAAAAAGGAAAAGAAGGAGAAGAGGAGAAGAAAGGACGAGGGAAGAAGGAGAAAAGTTGATGGTGGCTTGATCTAAGGAGGTAGTGACACCCATGGAGAAAAGTGGGCAGATTCCAGATGTGTTGTGAAGTTGACAGGACTTGTTGGATTGAACACAGGCTGTGAAAGGAAGAGATGAATTAAGGTGCGGTGGCTCACACCTGTAATCCCAGCACTATGGGAGGCCAAGGTGGGAGGATCACCCAAGGTCAGGAGTTTGAGACCAGCCTGACCAACATGGAGAAACCCCGTCTCTACTAAAAATATAAAATTAGCTGGGTGTGTGATAATGCATGCCTGTAATTCCAGCTACTTGGGAGGCTGAGGCAGGAGAATTGCTTGAACCTGGGAGGCGGAGGTTGTTTTGAGCCAAGATCACGCCACTGTACTCCAACCAGGGCAACAAGGGTGAAACTCTGTCTCAAAAAAAAAAAAAAAATTCTCCTAGATTTCTATCTTTGAACAACTAGGGAGATGATGATGTTCTATTACCCCATGTTGAGCACCCGAAATCCTAGGATGCAGGGGATTCCTTCCAGGCTGTGGAGGAATCTTGGTATTTCTGAGTAAGAGACAGGGTTGGTGTACCCTTTCTTTCCTTCTGGAATTAGCTCTCTACCCCAACCCCAGCCAGTTTCCACCTTCAGGTATTTTTAAATGACTTTTAATGGGAGACTCAAAGTTATTGCTGACTGCCATTTAGCACTCCCTTGTCCATTCTCAACTCTCTGGTTCTGATACTAGCCCTGCCCATGGCATGGCTCTGCCGGGGCCCCCTTCCTCTGTGCCTGTCAGGGTCATCAGGCTCGCCTTCAAACAACTATCCCCTTTGCCTCCCTGAAGGCTGAGCAGCCTCTCTGCAAACCCCTATTGTTGGACCTGGTCTGTTCTGTCTGGACTGTGGCAGCTGCAGACTATCTAGTCCTGCTGGGCTTCTCTCTCTCTCCACGCTTATTCCTAAAAGCCTTTTGTGCTACCCTAAGACTTTCACAAAGTTTCATCAGGAGTATCCGTCTTCCAACCTCGTGACTTGGTATTCCCCGACAGCTACTCTAACCTTATGTGAGCCTCACCTGGTATCTCCCTTTACAGGAGACCCCCTTCCCACAGAAAGCCGGCTCATGAACAGCTGTCTCCAGGCCAGGAGGAAGTGCCAGGCTGATCCCATTTGCAGTGCTGCCTACCGCCACCTGGATTCCTGCACCTCTAGCATAAGCACCCCACTGCCCTCAGAGGAGCCTTCAGTCCCTGCGGACTGCCTGGAGGCAGCACAGCAACTCAGGAACAGCTCTCTGATAGGCTGCATGTGCCACCGGCGCATGAAGAACCAGGTTGCCTGCTTGGACATCTATTGGACCGTTCACCGTGCCCGCAGCCTTGGTGAGGCTCCCATTATAGAGTGGGCTAAGCTGGGGAAGATGGCTCTAGGGGGTTGTTTTTTAATCTTGCAGGATATGGGCCACGTGGTAGATTCTGATGAGGAGGATAATGAAGCTCTGCATTTGACATCAGAAAAGGTCGGGGGATAATACCAGGATCTCCTTGGGGCCCCATAACACTGCCCTCTCTTCTCCCTACTTCCCCCTTTCTTACCTGGCAACATGTCAGTTCCCACTTAGCAGAGCTGTGAACCAGGCTGAGGCCCAACCTGGGGAGTTCCTGGAACAGATGGTATGGACAGTAGATGGGAGAAAAGAGTCTTAACCCATAAATAGGCTCCAAATACCAAGTTCAGAGAAATGGGGAGGTAACATCTTGGTCCAGCCTTTAACAGAAAGAATACTCATTAACCAGCCAGGAGATGTAAGAGAGAGAAGGCACAGAAAGAGCCAAAGAGGAGCTGCCTGTCACTCTTTCCATAGGACCCTTATTAGTCAGCTTTTACCGGACTATGTTGCTGTAACAAAACAGCAACTTGCAAAACAAAGGTTTAATTCTTGCTCATGTTCTGTATTGGCTCTTCCATGGGTCTTATTCATTCTGGGATCCAGGCTCAAGGTGCAGCCTCTGTCTGGGATGTTCCCTTCTCGTGGCAGGAGGAAATGAGCATTGGTAGAACCACATGATGATTTTTAAAGTTTCTGCTCAGATCTTATATACACTACATCTGCTTACATTTCATTCAGAGAGCAAGTCACATGGCCAAGCCTCACATCACTGGATTGAGAATTGTACTTCTCCCACAGGGAGATACCAAAAATCTCATGGCAATAAATGAGGATATACAATCTTACAGGGAAGGCAAAGAATGATTGGAAACAATAATACAATCTATCATTGTCAAGTATTCATTTACTTCCCTTCTGCAAGTAAAATACACCCACCTATTTTCCATGAAAGATGCCCTAAGAGCTCTGTTCAAACATGACATCAGGCCGGGCACAGTGGCTCACACCTGTAATCCCAGCACTTTGGGAGGCCAAGGAAGGCAGATCACTTGCATTCAGGAGTTTAAGATCAACCTGGCCAACATGGTGAAACCTCATCTCTACTAAAAATACAACAAATTAGCTGGGCGTGGTGGTGGGCGCCTGTAATCGCAGGCTATTTGGGAAGCTGAGGCAGGAGAATCACTTGAACCGGAGAAGCAGAGGTTTCAGTGAGTCGAGATTGCACTACTGCACTCCAGCCTGGGCGACAGGGTGAGACTCTGTCTCGAAAAAACAAGCAAACAAACAAACATGACATCAGGCTTCAAGTCTAGGATCTCATGATAGTTTTTAAATTGGGTCTGGATGTGGCTCCTCTTGATCTAAAAACTTATGAACTAAAAAGACAAGTCATCTGCTTTCTATATGTACTCACCACACAATAAAGGAACAGGGTCAGGATAACCACAACAAACATTGTCAGAAAGGGGAGGAATGGGCATCTAGGTGTGGTGACTCACACCTGTAACTTCAGCACCTTGGGAGGCCAAGGCGGGAGTATCCCTAAAGCCCAGGAGTTCGAGACCAGCCTGGACAACGTAGTGAGCTCCCATCACTACAAAAAGATAAATAAATTAGCTGAGTGTGGTGGTGTACAACTGTGGTCCCAGCTACTCGGGAGGCTGAGGTGGGAGGATCACTTGAGCCCAGGATTTTGAGTCTGCAGTGAGCCATGATCACACCACTGCGCTCCAGCCTGGGTAACAGAGCGAGACCCTATCTCAAATAAATAAATGAATGAATGAATGAATGAGAGACACACAGCAGACATTGATTCATAGCAATTCTGAGATCCTGCTACACAAATGTTGTAAGGACCCTCTTCCCTGGGAATAGGGATTGCTCTTTAATAAGGCCCTGTTTTTGCTCTACAGGAGTAGTTGCCCTGTCCATTGTTTTCCACAGCTCTTGGCCCAGCCCTCTGGAAAGGTCCCTCCTCTTTCAGTTTTCTCTTTGACCACATTTGAAAAGGACATTAGAGACTACAATCTACCTGGGGACTGAGCCGCATTCTCAGCCTGCTTCCTGCCTGAGAAATGTTGGGCCATTTTAAGTCTCAAATAGTCACAGTCTCTTTTAATCTACACTGGTAGCTCTTTGTAGTACAACTCTCTGAAAACATAATTGCTGCTTATGTCTTTGATTTCTATCATCTCATGTGCCTGTGGCCTTTCCCACAATTCAAGACATGCCTCTTTTTCTACACCTAATTAGAAGCACCTAGCCCTTATCAGGCTTCTGTGGAAGAGCCACTACTTTAGTCTTTTTTCACTGAGTACATTTGTCCAACTGGCAGGACTTATTGGAACCATCTTAATCAACTGAAAGATCTCCACAAACAGTATGATAGCCACATAACTCATTTGGTCTTTCCCCCAAGGCTGAGTTGTAATCAGCCTTATCACTCAAAGCATTTTTTTTAATGTTTTATCTTTTACCTTATGAATATGAGAAACAGTGGCATTTCTTTTCTTTTCTTTTCTTTTTTTGAAACAGAGTCTTGCTCTGTTGCCCTGGCTGGAGTGCAGTGGCTTGATCTCGGCTCACTGCAACCTCTGCCTCCCAGGTTTAAGCGATTCTCCTGCCTCAGGCTTCTGAGTAGCTGGCACCTGCCACCATGCCCAGCTAATTTTTGTATTTTTAGTAGAGAGAGGTTTTCACCATGTTGGTCAGGCTGGTCTCAAACTCCTGACCTTGTGATCTGCCCGCCTCAGCCTCCCAAAATGCTGGAATTACAGGTGTGAGTCACCACGCCCAGCACAGTTGCATTTCTTAATCCTACAAGTCCTGAAATTTCTAGATTATCTTTTCCTCCACATTTGGGAACTGGCCAATTCTTTTCTGAGCTTATGTCTTGTAGTACCTTGCCAAATGCAGCCAATAGCAATCAAGACATACTAGTAAACTGCTTCTCAGTTTCCCCTAACAGTACAAGCTCATTCAGCATATAATCTTCCCAGTTATCACAGGCAACAATTTTACCAGATGCTTTGCCACTGCATAATGAAGACTGCCATCTTTCTAGCCCCCAGTAACAGCTTCTTTACCACCCACTGCCCAGTACCAAAACCAATGACACACATTATATTATTTTATTTCTGTAGCACTCCACTTCTAGGTACCAATTGCATTTTATTTTTGCTGTTTTTTTAGTCGGAGTCTCACTTGTCACCCAGGCTGGAGTGCAGTGGCACATTCATAGCTCACTGCAGCCTCAACCTCCTGAGCTGAAGTGGTCCTCCCACCTCAGCCTCCCGAGTAGCTGGGACTACATGTGTGTGCCACCGGACCCAGCTAATTTTAAAATTTTTTGTAGAGATGAAGTCCTGCTGTGTTTCCCAGGCTGGTCTTGAGCTCCTGGGCTCAAGGAATATTCCCGCCTCAGCCTCCCAGTTGCATTTTTTTTTGGTAAGATGGAGCCTCACTCTGTCGCCCAGGCTGGAGTGCAGTGGCATGGTCGTGGCTCACTGCAGCCTCCGCTTCCTGGGTTCAAGTGATTCTCCCACCTCAGCCTCCTGGGTAGCTGGGATTACAGGCATGCGCCACCATGCCCAACTAATTTTTTTTTTTTTTTTTTTTGAGACGGAGTCTCACTCTGTTGCCCAGGCTGGAGTGCAGTGGCATGATCTTGGCTCACTGCAAGCTCCACCTCCCAGGTTCACGCCATTCACCTGCCTCAGCCTCTCGAGTAGCTGGGACTACAGTCACCTGCCACCACACCCGGCTAATTTTTTGTATTTTTAGTGGAGATGGAGTTACACTGTTAGCCAGGATGGTCTCGATCTCCTGACCTCGTGATCCTCCCACTTCAGCCTACCAAAGTGCTTGGATTACAGGCATGAGCCACCGCGCCTGGCTAATTTTTATATTTTCAGTAGAGATGGGGTTTCACCATGTTGACCAGGCTGGTCTTGAACTCCTGACCTCAGGTGATCCACCCGCCTAGGCATCCCAAAGTGCTAGGATTACAGCTGTGAGCCACCGTACCTGGCACCCCATTGCATTTTTAGTAAGAATTTGCTAGGTTATGCTGTTGTAACAACCAGTTCCCAAATCTCTGGCTTTCAACAACAAAAATGTATTTCTTGCTCATGTTACACATCTGCTGGAGGCTTCTATGAGTTGGCCTTGTCTCTGTTCTGCTTGTCTTCTTCACTGGAGGATCCAGGCTGGTAGAGGAGAAAGAGTAGCAGCAGAACCACGTGAGGGTCTTAAAGCTTCTGCTCAGATGTGATTTACATCACTTCAGCTCACAATCCACAGGCCAGAGCAAGTCACATGGCCAAGCCTGCCATCAGTGGGGTGAGGAAGTGTACGCCTCTCACAGGGAGTGTGAAAGTTACATGGTAACAGGTGGGGAAGTATAATCCTCCCGAAGGGTGGGGAACAAATAATTGGAAACAATAATACAGTTTGCCACACTCCTTGTTCCCTGTTTTTTACTCCTCATCCTAATCACTTCTCTTTCCGAACTTCCTCGGAGGCTTCTCCCTGAATCCTCTTGCCTCCCTACACTGTGTGCTGATAAGTGCGATGGTGCTCAGCATATTTATTTTTCTCACTTATACCATGGTGCTAAGCACACAGTGTGCTCAACAAATGGTAGCTCTTATTATTCTTATAGTTTATTGGTGGAGCCCAGCCTATACCTTATGGCCCTGCATTTTTCTCGTCTCTGCACAGCTTGCAGCTGGTTAGGTAGAGGCTGTGCTTTTCCTTTTCTCCACAGGGCTTTGAGGTCTGAGCCAGCAGCTTCAGCCCCTCCCACCTACCCCACCCTGATCCTCAGCATTCTGGTGCTCCCCACCTTGTCTCTAGGTAACTATGAGCTGGATGTCTCCCCCTATGAAGACACAGTGACCAGCAAACCCTGGAAAATGAATCTCAGCAAACTGAACATGCTCAAACCAGGTGTGGAGGGCAATTAGGCTCGGGAACCAGAGGCTGGGGCTGGACCCTGGAGGAAGGGTGACTGGGGAGGGGCACAAGTTGGGGGGCTTATAAGGGGAAAGTTTCTAGCCTACCAGGTGACTAAGGAAGACTGTGTCAGGCTGGAAGTGTGAGCTCTGGGGCATGGTCTGGTCTCACAGGTGTCTCCAAAGGACAGCAGTTATTAGGGACGCCATTGAAGAGAGCCCATTAGGGCTCCCTGTTTCTACAAGGCGGGCCCCTGCAAAGGGTGTGGTGGGAGTGGCAGCAGCCCCAGGAAAAATTGTGCTGAAATGGAGTATTTACTTGCATTCAAGGCAGCTGGGAAAGTAGCCTTTTTGTCCCTGAAGACTAGGAAATTGCTGTTTTCAACCATTCTAATGGGATGGGCGAGGTGTTGGGCAGGAAAAGAGAGTGTGACTCTGCACGGGGTGACTCAGGGTGGGGAGCCATCAGTCTGGCAAGGACTGTGATGCATGTTTTTCAGGAAAGTGAGACTATGAGTTAATTGAGGAAAAACATACACACATGCTTTTTGAGAAAGATGTGAGCTTTGCTGTATAGTCAGTTTTTTATCATTAGAATTAGAATTTTGAGAAAAAGGCATAGAGTTTCATGCATGAAAAACTCTTAGTGACAAGCTTAGCAAATAACCTGTTGCAATTACTTGATTACTATGGCTGCTGGAATATTCTGTTAATAGAAATATCACCATAATTTCCCAAGATTCAGAGTATGGGGAACAGAGTATACATGAATCAATAAATGAAAGATGGGCAGGTGACATTAAAATGGAACAGGATAGGTGCAGATGAAGCCAAAACCAAACCAGAAACCTCAACTAGAATTTGGCTGCATCTGTTTTGGACAGTTTTGAAAGTGCTTCAGAATGTTGCAGGTACTCTGGGTTATCTTTTCTACCTTCAGCTCTCACAGCGCAGCACTGAGGAAAGAGGTATGGTTTTCTGAGCTTTCTGGCCGCTTGAATTCTAGATAAATGGGTGTTCAATGCATATAGATGATGATAGTGATTATTCTTATTATTTTACCTAGTCAAGATGAGGAGTTGGGCCGGGCACAGTGGCTCATGCCTGTAATCCCAGCACTTTGGGAGGCCAAGGCGGGCAGATCTCCTGAGGTCGGGAGTTCAAGACCAGCCTGGCTAACATGATGAAACCCCGTTTCTACTAAAAATACAAAAAAATTAGCCGGGCGTCGTGGCGCGTGCCTGTAATCCCAGCTACTCGGGAGGCTGAGGCAGGAGAATTGCTTGAACCCAGGAGGCGGAGGTTGCAGTGAGCTGAGATCTCGCCACTGCACTCCAGCCTGGGCAACAAGAGCAAAACTCCGTCTAAAAAAAAAAAAAAGAGGAGTAGGATGGGGAAGGCTTCAGAAGAGCAGGCAGAGTTTGTGGGGAGAGGGGAAGCCCTGGATTAGGAGTGGGTTTATTCAGGACAGGCTTTCTTTTCCTCCTATATCCACTACCTTCCTTGTCAAATCAGGGGTTTTCCGGGGTTCCTATGGAGCCTGGGCTGCAGGCATGCAGAGGGCCCAGCCCAGTGACTCCGTGCCCTTTCCCCCCAGACTCAGACCTCTGCCTCAAGTTTGCCATGCTGTGTACTCTAAATGACAAGTGTGACCGGCTGCGCAAGGCCTACGGGGAGGCGTGCTCTGGGCCCCACTGCCAGCGCCACGTCTGCCTCAGGCAGCTGCTCACTTTCTTCGAGAAGGCCGCCGAGCCTCATGCGCAAGGCCTGCTACTGTGCCCATGTGCCCCCAACGACCGGGGCTGCGGGGAGCGCCGGCGCAACACCATCGCCCCCAGCTGCGCGCTGCCACCTGTGGCCCCCAACTGCCTGGATCTGCGGCGCCTCTGCTTCTCTGACCCGCTTTGCAGGTGTGTGGTTTGGGAAGACAGGGTGGGCAGGGATGTGGCACACGCCACTCCTTCCTGGCCATGTTCCTGTGCTGAGCAGGATCTGACCCTCCCAGGGAACCGTGGACCCACTGGCTGCTTTACCAAGTAGCTACATTGGATATTTTGTGAAAGTCTTTTCCTGAAAAGAATATGTTTTTTTTTCTTTGCTCTAAAATCTCAGGAAATATAAAAATGTATTTTAAAATATCATTCAAAATTCTATCACCTGAAGATAATCTATCATACTTTGGGAAGCATTTCCTTCCAGTCATTTTTCTATCCAGATAACAAAAGTAGACATTCTGGGAATATATTTGTGCCTTACTTTTTTTCTCTTATGGCACATATCTCATGAGCATTTTTCCGTGGAGGTGGTGTGAGGTAGTGGTAAGAGGGCATCTGAAGTCAGACAGGTGTGAATTTAAATCCTGGGTCTCTGCGATCTTGAGCACATCACTTAACCTAAAAATTCCATCACTAAACCTAAGGTTCCATTTAGTCTCCTGTAAAAACTGGGATAATAATGCAGACCTCATGGGATTCTGGTGAAAGTTAAATTACAAAATTTATATAGAGTGGTGTAGAGTACCGGTGAAGAGTAAGTGCTCAATAAATGGTAGTGCTTATTTTTTCACTTACTGTCCTTTAAGAACTTTTTTCTTTTTTTTCTTTTTCTTTCCTTTTTTTTTTTTTTTTTTTTTTTTTTTTGAGACAGAGTCTTGCTCTATCACCCAGGCTGGAGGGCAGTGCTCACTGCAACCTCCATCTCCTGGGTTCAAGCAATTCTCCTGCCTCAGCCTCCTGAGTAGGCTGGGACTATAAGTGCACACCACAGTGCCCAGCTAATTTTTGTATTTTCAGTAGAGATGGGGTTTCACCACATTGCCCAGGCTGGTCTTGAACTCCTGACCTTGTTATCAGCCTGCCTCGGCCTCCCAAAGTGCTAGGATTATGGGTGTGAGTCACCATGCCCAGCCAAGAACTTGATTTTTAAATACCTGCAGTGTATTTTATGTATGGATGCCCTATACTTTATTTAACCATTCCTCTATTGCTAGATATTTAGGTTGTTTTTTGTTTTGTTTTGTTTTGTTTTTAAGATGGAGTCTCATTTTGTCGCCCAGGCTGGAGTGCAGTGGTGCGATCTCAGCTCACTACAGCCTCCTCCTCCTGGGTTCAAGGGATACTCCCCCTTCAGCCTCCCGAGTAGCTGGGATTACAGGCGCCCGCCACCATGCCCAGCTAATTTTTTTTTTTTGTATTTTCAATAGGGATGGGGTTTCGCTGTGTTGGCCAGGTTAGTCTCGAACTCCTGGCCTCAGGTGATCTGCCCGCCTTGGCCTCCTAAAGTACTGGGATTATAGGTGTGAGCCACCGCGTCCAGCCAGGTTGGTTCTTTTTTTTCCTTCTTTTTTTTTTTTTTTTTTTTTTGAGACAGAGTCTTGCTCTATCACCCAGGCTGGAGGGCAGTGCTCACTGCAACCTCCATCTCCTGGGTTCAAGCAATTCTCCTGCCTCAGCCTCCTGAGTAGGCTGGGACTATAAGTGCACACCACAGTGCCCAGCTAATTTTTGTATTTTCAGTAGGGATGGGGTTTTGCCACATTGGCCAGGCCAGTGTTGAACTCCTGAGCTCAAGTGATCAGCCCACTTCAGCCTCCCAAAATGCTGGGATTATAGGCATGAGCCACCATGCTTGTCCAACTCTTACTGTTTAATCTTTGTGCACTAATGTAATTATTACTTAGGATATGCTGCTACTAGTGCCATGGCCAGATCAAAGGACATGGGAGATTTGTAAGGTATTTGATAGATTTGATAAATATTCTCTTCAGGAAATTTGAAATTCTGATCTGGCTTTCCTGTGTCTTCTCAGGATAAAACACTCACAAAATTGAAGCTATCATTCATTCAAGTGACATTTGTTGACAATAACCTTGGTTTGCAACTTGGTTCTCCTACTTAGTTCTTTGTAACCTTGGGCAAGTTACTTAACCTCTGAGACTACCACTTTCCTCATCTGTAAACTATCTTATAGTCAGGGCTCTTAATAATCATAATACTAACATTTATTGAATAACTAAATACTTACTATGGGCTAGATACTGTTTTAAGTATTAACTCATCTAAACCTCACAAGAACCCCAATAAGGTAGATCGATCCTTCCTTCCTTCCTTCCTTCCTTCCTTCCTTCCTTCCTTCCTTCCTTCCTTCTTTCCTCTCTCTGTCTCTTCTTCTCTCCTTCCTTCCTTTTTTCCTTCCTCTCTCTCTTTTTCCCCTTCCTTCCTTTCTGTCTCCTTCTCTTCTCTCTTTCTTTCCTTTCCTTTCCCTCCCTCCCTCCCTCCCTCCCTCCTTTCTTTCCTTCCTCCCTCCCTCCCTCCCTCCCTCCTTTCTTTCTCTCTCTCTCTCTCTCTCTTTCTTTTTTTTTTTTTTTTTGAGACGGAGTCTCGCTCTGTCGCCCAGGCTGGAGTGCAGTGGCGCGATCTCGGCTCACTGCAAGCTCCGCCTCCCGGATTCACGCCATTCTCCTGCCTCAGCCTCCTGAGTAGCTGGGATTACAGGCGCCCGCCACCGCGCCTGGCTAATTTTTTGTATTTTTAGTAGAGACGGGGTTTCACCGTGGTCTCTATCTCCTGACCTTGTGATCTGCCCGCCTCGGCCTCCCAAAGTGCTGGGATTACAGGCGTGAGCCACCGCGCCTGGCTTCTTTTCTTTCTTGGCAGGGTCTTGCTATGTTGCTCAGGGTGGTGTGCAACTCCTGAGCTCAACTGATTCTCCCACCTCAGCCTCCCAAGTAGCTGGGATTACAGGCGTGAGCCGCTACACCTGGCTTATGCATTCTCTTGCTTCATCCTCACAAAAATCCACGAGGTAGTGCTGCTGTCATCTCTATTTTATAGTTGAAGAAACTGAGGTTAAATAAACTATCTGAGATCTCATAAGTAGGGATCATGGAGCCCAAACTCAGAGTGAAATGCTGTGGGTTCCGAGGAATGGTACATTTAGTTGTGACGGGGCACACTTCACAGAGGTAGAGGTCCTGGGCCAGGCTCTGAAGGCAGAGGAGGATTTGACACGACAATGGGCATTCCAAGCTAATGGGACATGAGGGAGAAGGCCACAGGCCGGACCCTCAAGGGTGATTCTTGAAACTTTCCTGGCTGAGTGCAGTGGCTCACACCTGTAATCCCAGCACTTTGGGAGGCCAAGGCAGGTGGGTCACCTGAGGTCAGGAGTTTGAGACCAGCCTGGCCAACATGGTGAAACCCCATCTCTACTAAAAATAAAAAATTAGCCAGGTGTGGTGGCACGCACCTGTAGTCCCAGCTACTCGGGAGGCTGAGGCAGGAGAATCACTTGAACCTGAGAGGCGGAGGTTGCAGTGAGCCAAGATTGAGCCACTGCACTCCAGCCTGGGCAAGAAAGAGCGAGACACCATCTCAAAAAAAAAAAAATGAAAGAAATTTCCCTTCTTCCAGATCACGCCTGGTGGATTTCCAGGCCCACTGCCATCCCATGGACATCCTAGGAACTTGTGCAACAGAGCAGTCCAGATGTCTACGAGCATACCTGGGGCTGATTGGTGAGGCTGGGGGCATGTGTAGGGAACCCCATGTTGGCTAGGCCTGAGGGTAAGAATGCTCTGGAGATAAAGGATGTGATCCTGTCATGGGTGGAATAAGGTGGGAGCTAAAGTTAGGGTTAGCCTAGGCCCTGACTACCCTTTCCCTCTTCACTCCACAGGGACTGCCATGACCCCCAACTTTGTCAGCAATGTCAACACCAGTGTTGCCTTAAGCTGCACCTGTCGAGGCAGTGGCAACCTGCAGGAGGAGTGTGAACAGCTGGAAGGGTTCTTCTCCCACAACCCTTGCCTCAGTGAGTGTGCTGTACTTGCTCCCAGCCCCCGGGGCTGAGTCAGCTGGACTCAAGAGAAGGAAAAGGGTCAACTCTGTGGCCCAGGCTGGTTCCATCCATCTCCACCAGACAGAGCAGCTCCTAGCATAGGCTTTCATTGCCACAGCCCGGGCCTTTCTTCTGTCTCCCACTCCCTGAGCAACCTCCCACGCTGCCTGTTCAACCTGTCTGGAACCCAGGAACATCTCCAGCTCAAGAAACAAGTAGAATGAGAGAGTATCCTACTTCCACCTCCCACCCACTTGCTCCCCTATCGCCCAGGGTCCCCGTGGCATTCCCTTTCCTTCCTTGGGAGCCTGAGAAATCTCCTGCCCCTATACCCTTCCAATGAGCCTTCTCTCCTCTCTTCAGCGGAGGCCATTGCAGCTAAGATGCGTTTTCACAGCCAGCTCTTCTACCAGGACTGGCCACACCCTACCTTTGCTGTGATGGCACACCAGGTAGGGCCTCCTCTGTTACACCCCTCAGACTTTACTGGGCCAGCTGGGGAAAACCCAAATTAGGCAGACAAAGGGATAGAGGTGGGGGACTGACCTCCTCATTGCCATGAATATAGAGACCTCTACTAGATACCTCAGGGGAAGGGGAATACCTCTTGACTGAGGCTGAGGTAGTGAAGGGGTTGAAGAAAATCCCCTGAGATAACTCTATTCCATTTCTTCCACAGAATGAAAACCGTGCTCTGAGGTCACAACCCTGGGCGCCCTCTCTTTTCTCCTGCACGCTTCCCTTGATTCTGCTCCTGAGCCTATGGTAGCTGGACTTCCCTAGGGCCCTCTTCCCCTCCACCACATCCAGCCAGACTTGCAGCCCACAAGGCGTTAGGAAAGGACAGCAGCAGAAAGAGGTGCAGTGCACAGATGAGGGCACAGGAGAAGCTAACGGTTATGACCTCCAGATCCTTATTGGTCTGGTCCTCATTCCCTCCACCCCGTCTCCACTTCTGATTCATGCTGCCCCTCCTTGGTGACCACAATTTAGCCATATCATCCGGTGGTGACCAGCTCCACCAAGCCCCTTTCTAAGCCCTTCCTCTTGACTACCAGGATCACCAGAATCTAATAAGTTAGCCATTCTCTATTGCATTCCAGGTTAGGGTTAGGGTAGGCAGGACTGGGTGTTCTGAGGTAGCCTAGAAAGACATTATCCTTTGTGAGGAAGGTTCCTGCCCACTCATCTCCTCCTCTGAATGGTGGATGGAAACCTACTGCCTGCACTGCCCTGTCCCCGGATCCTGCAGAACATCTGGGCATCAGGAGCTGGAGCCTATGGGCCTTGCTTTATTCCTATTATTGTCCTAAAATCCCTCTGGGCTCTTGGATCATGATTAAACCTTTGACTTAAGACTTTGCTCTTTTTCCATTTTCTCAAATTTTGAATATCTGTAGAACTAGGGTGTTAATGAAAGAACACAGACCAGGTGATGAGACACAGCAACCCTACCACCAACTGCTATATGACTTCAGGTATATCTCCTAGCCTCTCTGTGTTCTTGACATGGTGTTGTAATTAAAAATAGCTTATGTGAGGCTGTGGACCCGGGATCTGTCCCAGCTCCAGCCATTTCTTGGATACTGCCTGGGATCTGCCACAGATGGGGATTCTTAGTCAACCACACCATTTATTGAACACCTGCTTGGGTTATTGGCCTGCTCCAGATCATAATGGGGGCCAGAGGAAAAGACAGATTGGTTCTTTTCTTCTCTCTTTTTTTTTTTTTTTTTTGACTCAAAGTCTTGATCTGTCGCCCAGTCTGGAGTGCAGTGGTGCGATCTTGGCTCACTGCAACCTCCTCCTCCCAGGTTCAAGCAATTCTCCTGCCTCAGCCTCCCAAGCAGCTGGGACTACAAGCGTGTGCCACCACACCAGGCTAATTTTTTGTATTTTTAGTAGAGACACAGTTTCATTATGTTGGCCAGCCTGGTCTCGAACTCCTGACCTCAGGTGATCCACCCGCCTCAGTCTCCCAAAGTGCTGGGATTATAGGCGGGAGCCCCCGTGCCTGGCCCTAATTATGATAATCCTCATTTTTGGAGCCCATATTGTGTGCCAAGTACTACTGCGCATTAACTGTGTGCAAATACATCCATTAATTCGTTTAATCCTCCAGCAACATTTGAGTTTGTGAATCACAAGCTGTTAATATGTGACCTTGGGCTTAGCCTCACTGGGCCTCACTATCCATACCTGTAACATGGAAAATCATGGCACCCACCTCATGAGGAATGAGATAATCCATGTAAAAGCATTGTAGCTGACATACAGTAAAAACTCAAAAGTTAACAATTATGTGTTTTTGTAGAGAATTTGGACATTACAGACAATTCTAAAGAAGAAAGCAAAATCTTTAAGCTCGCACTGTCAAGTGTCCAGACTGCTCCCTGCATATCTGTGACCTTGAGAATCTATGGGCATGTGTAATGTTACATAAGTGGGGTCACACACTGGATAGCAAAGTGCAAGTCACAGACATCATTCAGCATCCGTGAGTAGAGTTGAGCTATATCATTCTATTTATCATCTGCATGACATGAACTTACATGAATGCATATTCATACATGCATAGTTTATTTAACCAGTTCTGTGTTGATGGATATTTGGTTGTCTTCCCATTCTTCTCTGAGCCAAGTTTAAGGCAGCGAGGGAGGTGACTGTGGGTAGGATGTACACAAAGCTGCCAGAGTGGTGGGTGGAATCTGTAAGTCTCTCTATATACATTTCGTATTCCCGTAGCCTGCACAGCCCCAGGAAATGCTCAGCCAGGCTGCCTCCCTGAAAACTCCAGTGGGACACTGAGTTGACCTTCCTTCTTCCCCTCCCAGGAAGATCTCTGAGCAGTCAAGTCCTCTCCATTTGCCCTGGCTTCATTAACCTGGGGCTGGGGGTGTGAATGGTGTAGTCATTTCTTGCTGAGTACTTGAATTAGACTAATAGGTCATGTATGCTTTTCTCTGAAGAAGGCCCAAATTTCTGGTAAACAACCAGACCACATTTCCAGCCCAGGGCCCAGAGCCAAGACCCTGGGTCAGGGTGCAGTGGCTGAACTGAAGCTTTTAATGGTGTCATGGCTGTCTGGGATGGTTAATGCCATTATACTAGCTTCTGGGCAACAAGGTAGGAAGGACTTTTGGTAGCAGTGGTAAATGGAGAGTGCTAAATTACGAGTCTCTCCATGGTTGGGGTGGATCAGACTATCTCCTAAACAACTATCTCCAAATTCATTCATTCATTCATTCATTCATTCAACAAACCTTTAATAAGCACTTGTCTTGTCCCAGGTCTTGAGTATTTTTGCAGGAGATAAGATCTGGGCCGGGCACAGTGGCTCATGCCTGTAATCCCAACACTTGGGGAGGCCAAGACAGGTGGATCACCTGAAGTCAGGAGTTTGAGACCAGCCTGGTCAACATGGTGAAACCCCATCTCTGTTAAAAATACAAAAATTAGCTGCATGTGGTGGCGGACACCTGCAATCCCAGCTATTCAGGAGGCTGAGGCAGGAGAATTGCTTGAATCCGGGAGGCAGAGTTTACAGTGAGCCGAGATTGCTCCATTGCATTCCAGCCTGGGTGACAGGGCGAGACTCCATCTCAAAAAAAAAAAAAAAAAAAAAAATCTGTCCCTGTCAAGTCATGAGCCATGGCTTTAATGAAGAAGCAGCCCAGGTCTGGCAACTGGATCCTAAGTTTGGGTTGTTGGGATTCTTCAGTTAGCCTGGTTGATTATCACACTCAGCTATTTGACCTCAGGAAACATTGTTCACATTTCTGAGCCACTGTTTCCTCACCTAGAGTGAGGATGCCAATAGAATACATAACTTAACAAGTTGCAGTCTTTGTTTTGCTTTGTTTTTAGTAAAGCAAATTAATTTCAGCCAAAAGACTAATTGGCAATATGAAATAATGCTGATATCAGTTGTAATAGTTTGGGTTGGCAATTTTTTGGCTTCCTATTTCTCTAAAAGCTTATAAGCATGAGTCATTTATGCTTATTTTGATCTCCATGTGTATTTAATTTAGATATTGGTAAAAATACTAACTCAGGTTTTGTTTTTTTTTTTTTTTGAGGCAGAGTTTTGCTCTTGTTGCCCAGACTGGAGTGCAGTGGCACAATCTCAGCTCACTGCAACCTCCGCCTCCTGGGTTCAAGCAATTCTCTTGCCTCAGCCTCCCAAGCAGCTGGGACTACAGGCATGCGCCACCACACCCAGCTAATTTTTGTATTCTTAGTAGAGATGAGGTTTCACCGTATTGGCCAGGCTGGTCTCAAACTCGTGACCTCATGATCCACCTGCCTCAGTCTCCCAAAGTGCTGGGATTACGGGCATGAGCCCGCTGCGCCCAACCTTTTTTTTTTTTTTTTTGAGACAGAGTCTCACTGTGTTGCCCAGGTTGGAGTGCAGTGGCATGATCTTGGCTCACTGCAACCTCTGCCTCACAGGTTCAAGCAATTCTCCTGCCTCAGCCTCCCAAGCAGCTGGGACTACAAGCGTGTGCCACCACACCAGGCTAATTTTTTGTATTTTTAGTAGA